TAGTTACAGAACAGAATGTAAATATTATAAACCTTGACAATGTAAATACAATAATAAAGTAAAACTGGGAAGTAGAGAGAGGGAAGTAAAAAAGTAAAAGGCATTAAATTCCTCCACATTGTAGCAAAAAGTCTAAAAATACCATCTCACGTTGGTGAATCAAGAATAGAAATGTATTCCTTTAAAGTCTCAATGGTAACTGTTAGAAGCTAAAATGGGAATGCCCCAGTGAGACTAGAAGTGGAAGGAGAGAGGGTTTTAAATTTTATTTCAGAGTCTTATGAACAGTTTCATTTTTTATAATATGAGAAGATATGATTTTAGTGTTTATTTTCATTTTAATTCCTCACCCAGAGGCTAGAACTCTCCTAACCTCACAGATGATAAGAAAGAAGTTTCAAAGTTTGAGAGATACAGAATACTTAGCCAAAAGAAAAGACTTAGAAATCCATGATAAATGTCTTCAAATGCTTTAAAGTTAGCCATAAGAAAAAGATTTCAATTTATTCTATGAAGTTTCATGAAGACAGAACCATGATGAGGATGTAAATTATGGGGATTCTGATCCTGACTTACTATAATGAAGAACTGTCAAACAATTAGAACTATACAGAGAGGGCTGCCTGGGTGGTGCAGTCGGTTGAGTGGTCGACTCTTGATTTTGGCTCAGGTCATGATCTCATGGTTGTGGGATCAATCCCTGCATTTGGGCTCCACACTCAGCACAGAGTCTGCCTGGGATTCTCTCTCCCTCTCCCTGTCCCTCTGCTCCTCCCACCTGTTCTCTGTCTCTCTCTCTCTCTCAAATAAATCTTTAAAAAAAAAAAAAACTATATAGAGAATATGGACCTCCTTGTTCAGTAGTGGGCTCCCTGTCTATGGAAGAGTTCAAGTGAAGGCTGGAAACTAGCTAGACAGTGACATTTTAAAGATGATTCTGATTTCACATAGAGGGTTACATGATCTAGATTCTAAAAGACCTTAAGGTCACTTCCAACATCATGATTCCAGGATTGTCAAGAGACCTTCAATTTCTTTGGTAATTTATCCTATCTAATAAAGTCCTCACTTCCAGGAACTTATTTCCATATGCCTATACCCTTAAAATAAATTTGTTTCTTTGGATCCCTGGGTAAACGTAAATTAATTAGGAAAAGGAAATAAAAACACTGAGCATCAATTATGTGATGGGCATGTCCTGAGTACTTCGTGTATATTATGTCATCCAGTGCTAAGAATAATTTTAAGAGATGGATCCTTAAATTATTTTTCTGTTTACAGACAAGAAACTGAGGTTCCAAGAGGTAAGATCATATGCCTCAGATCACATAGCCAAATGATTCTGGAGCCCAGATAAAAACCTGAGAGCCTAGCCTCTTAACCACTCTACTCCCTGTGAACTGTCTCAGGCTGTTCTCTCTTCCATTCGCTACTTCATGGTAACAAACCAAACAAGCAGAAAGGACATCCTTCCAAACCAGACCTGCCTGACTCCAAAACCAATATTCTTTCTTAGCTTCAATTCTAGCTACCAGAATTAAAGGTAATGTGAACAGCATGAAGGAAAATAAGCTGTCTGAAATCCCATAAGTAAGTTTAGTTTCTGATCTGGTGATATGAACTTGTATGGCCCATAGGAAATGTGTGTGTGGCTTGTTTTAGGGGAAGTGCATACTCTTTTCAACACTGGATTATTTCAAAATAACTGAAAGAAAAAGTGCCAATCTTTGATAGTTGTTAAAACATACTTCAATATTAACTACTTAAGATTTTCAAATAATGTATTTTCCATATATATAATAAATCACCTGGATTTTCATTTGGGAAATTTTCATAAAGTAAAAGTCATAAAGTAAATAGAGCAATTAAGAAAATGAGAAAAGTTGAGTCTTGTAAAAACAGGACCCCAGCCTGCAAATACTACTACTTCCGCAGTCATTCTGGGCTTCACTAATAAAGTAAGTTCCCTACCGCAAAAACAGAGCTTTAGAAGGCATTATGAAGACTCTTCCTGAGACCATTAATGTGTCAGTAAAACGACTTGACAGTATTTTCGGTAGTCAATCTTTGGAGTCATAATCCTATGAATGAGCACTTTAAAAAGACCTCAAGTTTTTTATCGCCCATATTTTTTTTTTACAATTTTTATTATTTTGGCAGGAACTTCATCCCAAAATGAATGTGTTTCCAAGTCTGAACAACATTGCATTATTTACAAGTAAAGATACATATAAGAAATAAGTCCCATTTTTTTTAATGTGCTCTTATAACACATTTTCATTTCCTACTGCTTATCTTCAGAAATGCTTTCTTATAGGTAAATATTAAATTCTGCCTAATTTTCAAGGCTTGATACTTTAATAATTACTATTTGTAATCAAATTCAAGTTATTCATTCACTGAGGAAATTTGCATAGCTACTTACTGTTCTTGTCCTACTGACTTGACAACAAATAACTTGGCATCAGACAGATATGTAGGATATAGCTGTGACCCTACACATGGAAAGGGATTACTGATGATAGCAAAATAATATAGTGACCAGGGTTCAAATCCCAGCTTTGCCACTTACGAGCTATGTGAACTTGAGCAAAGTATACTTAGCACAATGACTGTGCTAATAGTAAGTGATTGATAAATGGTGACTATTATACTAATGATTGCTGACAGTATTAATGTAAAAAATCTGAGAGCCTAAAACTTCACTCAGAAGTCTCACTGGTGGGACTCCTGGGTGGCTCAGTTGGTTAAGCAACTGCCTTCGGCTCAGGTCATGATCCTGGAGTCCCGGGATCGAGTCCCGCATCGGGCTCCCTGCTCAGCAGGGAGTCTGCTTCTCCCTCTGACCCTCCTCCCTCTCGTGCTCTCTGTCTCTCATTCTCTCTCTCAAATAAATAAATAAAATCTTGGGCGCCTGGGTGGCTCAGTGGGTTAAGCGACTGCCTTCGGCTCAGGTCATGATCCTGGAGTCCCGGGATCGAGTTCCGCATCGGGCTCCCTGCTCAGCAGGGAGTCTGCTTCTTCCTCTGACCCTCCCCCCTCTCATGCTCTCTCTCTCTCTCATTCTCTGTCAAATAAATAAATAAAAATATTTAAAAAAAAAAAGTCTCACTGGTAGGTAAGCTATTAAAAGCGTAATTTTGAAATAATTTTATGTATATTGTAAGACAAAGCAAATGAGTAGATATTATGATTAAGATTCAAACGATACTAATATAAAACACAAAGATATTAGGAAAACTCTAAATACCACTTTTAATTTAAAAATACCAGTATTAGTTTATGACTAAAAATGTATTTCTAGCTCTGTCCACCTAAAGAAATGACAGCCCAATAGCAATGAGCACACCGAGAGCCTCGATCTTGGTTTTAAGCACCATTCTTCAGGAAAAGGCACCAACGCTCCCTACAGAACAGGTTGATTTTAGTTCTGTAGTCTGAAAATTCTAAGTGATCCTAAGAGGCTATGTCTTCTGTCAGAAAAAGCAAGGAATTGTTAAAAAGACTAGAGTCAGTTTACAAGGTCACAGAGACCATCTTGAAGGGGCTGCTACTGAGCCAATATAGTGAATTTGGAGCACGAAAAAAAAAAAAGTAATTGATGGTAACACAGTGAGTAAATAAAAATCCATGTGTCCACAGAACTGAAGAGAAAAGAAATAAAAAGCTTTTCTTTACAGAAGGATGCCAGCTAATAAGCAGAAGGAATGGTAAAATTAGAATATTACCTTTTTGCCACCCATGATGTAAATTAATCCAGGCAAGAATCAATGATGATAACACCACTCAGTAAAGCCAATGGGGAACAGAAATAATCTGCCAGTTATCAGAAATAATATGCCCAGAGATACCTTACTTAACTGCAGAAGAAAAAAAAAATGTCCCTTTATGCTCAAGAGATGGGCAAACTTAGTGTCAGCAACAAAGAACAATCTAGCATGACTTGCCTATAATATGAAGTCTACAACTTAACCTTTGAAATGCCCTTGCCAAAATCATTTAACCTGAATCCAGTCCAGTCATTACCTAATTTTGAACTACATCTCCTTTACCACTTAATTGTCTCCTATGTACTTTGTTAACTGATTGCATTGGCTCACTTTGGCTTTTGAAAATTCACATTACTAATCCCATAATTAGTTTGTCACAAAAATATAAAAATAATTGAAAGATTATATAGTGTTAAAAAATATACAGTATTTATTGGCATGCTCAAACAGAACTTCGGATAATTTGAAAAGATCAAGCAATTCATTGTACAAATAACGGTCTAGCATTGAAGAACTTCCCTTTGACGGTCTCTTCTAAGTAACACTCATCTCCTTCGACCCTGCAAGTATCCTTCTAGGGTTTTGTCTTACTGATACATTCTCATGCATGACAAATAATATAAGATTATTCATAGCAGCCTTGCTTATAATAGTGTGTGGTGTATTACCATTTTGTGTTAAAAAATAAATGAAGGGAAAAAAATAACGCACAGCATGTTGCCATTTGTATTAAAATTAAAAAAAGAATAAGTATACACATCAAAGAACATTTCTAGAAAGGTATATAAAAAAATAATTAACAGAGGTTGCCTCTGAGGAGAACGACTGGGTGGCTGGTGGGAGGGGTGGGGGTGGGGAGGATTTTCACCATATACCTTTATGTCTATTTGGAATTTTTTATCTGGTGGATGCATTACCTATTTTTCAAAAACAGTTAATGTTTGAGTATCAAAAATCCTTAGAGCCTAACTAAAGTAGGACACAAGTCTCTACAAACTCTACTTTTAAATGTGCTGTGTGTCTTTTTTTTTTTTTTTCCTAATTAGGAAAAAACTATGTACCCAACTGCCTGCTCGGGTCACTGCGTCCCATGCTGCCCCCAGCCCTCCTGCTGACAGCTGCCTTTTGAAACTGTGGTCAGTAACGCCAGTGTGCTCACCCACATCTGGTTTTCAATTTCTGCTTCATAAACATGATCGCAGGTGCACATGCACACTTCACATACTGTACCTGGTTCAACTTGTCTTTCTCCTCGGTGCAGGAGGCAGCTTTTTTCTGCTCTCTGTTTACTTCTGAAACCAGCCTCATGATGGTTTCTCTGCTAGCTTTTGCTTCCATCTCATGGACATTTATAGTCTCTTCAAGAGTAACAATCTGTCCTTTCACGAATGCATTTTCCTCGCACAGCTCTCTAAGCTGCAGAGAAAGCAATTACAGCTATCCTGTAAAAATTAGCAATTTCACACGGCTTCCTCTAAGCAACTCTGATCTATGTACCCCGCTGACTGCATGATCACATGAAACCAGTGAAAGCACTGTCCCTCCATCCACTCAAAAGAACATATTGTCAAAAGCAGCCTCTAAACTCTGTTGTTATGCACAGACCCAGTGATCAAATTAAAATTAATCAAAAGATAGCTCCAGGCAACACTGCTGAAAGTCTTGCCAAAAGCTTCCCGACAGAGCAAGAGTCAGCAAGCCCCTGGCTTAAATAATCGAGGAAAGGTGATGTTCTACAGAGATTACAGCAGGGGAGGAAGCAAGGGACTTCTATTCAGCCCACGTCCACTGGCGCCAACTGCATGCGAGGCACTACCTGGCGCAGGGGGAAACACACAGAAGAAAGCGGGACTCTCTTTTTAAAAAGAAAATCCTTCTAATTAATATAAGCATAGAAAAATCCTGAATAACATGCTCAAACAGTGGCTACCATTGGGATTAGCAGAGCTTTTCACTCTCTATGTTGTGCATTTGGGTTGTCAGCTGAAAGCATGAGTAAGATTTATAAGATTTATAAGGAGGGAAAATGAAATCAGACAGGCTTATTGGCCAGGGAACCAGCCCTGCAGACAGCTCAGCCTGGAAGGCCATGAGGACGCCTACAGGAAGAGATGAGACCCCACATTACAGAGTCAGTATCGGTGTCGTGACTCTCTGGGGAAGTGGCCAGCCTCCGCACCCGGCCAACATGGCGCCCTGCTCCCAACTCAGGGCTGTTCCCACTCCCTGAACACTTTTCCGCATATGTGTATGCTCAGTCCCCAACATCTTTCAGAAGTCCCCACCTCAGAATGCAAGCTGGTGCAGCCACTCTGAAAAACAGTATGGAGGCTCCTCAGCGAATTGAAAATAGTGCTACCCTACAACCCAGCAATTGCACTACTAGGGATTTACCCCAAAGATACAAATGTAGTGATCCAAAGGGTCACCTGCACCCCAATGTTCATAGCAACAATGTCCATAATAGGCAAACTATGGAAAAGAGCCCAGATGTCCAACAACAGATGAATGGATAAAGAAGATGTGGCATATATATACAATGGAATACTACTAAGCCATCAAAAAAATGAAATCTTGCCATTTGCAACAACAAGGATGGAACTAGAGGGTATTATGCTAAGGGAAATAAGTCAATCAGAGAAAGACAAGTATCATATGATCTCACTGATATGTGGAATTTAAGAAACAAACCAGAGTATCTTAGGGGAAGGGAGGGAAAAATAAAACAAGACGAAATCAGAGAGGGAGACAAACCATAGGAGACTCTTAATCATAGGAAACAAACAGGGCTGCTGGAGGGGAGGGGGGTGAAGGGATGGGGTAACTGGGTGATGGGCATTAAGGAGGGCACGTGATATAATGAGCACTGGGTATTATATAAGACTGATGAATCACTGACCTCTACCTCTGAAACTAATAATACATTATATGTTAATTAAGTGAACTTAAATTAAAAAAAAAAAAGTCCCCACCTCAGAGGGGCATTCCTCGGTCAATCTGCCTAAACTAGCCTGCCACGCCTCTAACCTGCCTCACTCTCTATCCCCACATCCCCATTTACTACATGGGATAATACTGGATATTTGTTTTTTCCTCATTATCTTTATCTCACAATAACGAAACTTCTAGGAGAGCACAGATTTAGGCTTATCTCATTCACTGCGGCACCACCAGCACCTAGAATCGTGTCTAGCATACAGTAGTCACTCACTAAATATCTGTGAAATGGATGTCAACTAAGTCCTTAGGAACGCCTCTTTGGTTTCTTGGGGGGGGCGGGGGCGGTGCACATGTGGTTGGGAGAGCTGTAAGAGGGAGGAAATGGTTTTGAAATTGAAGGAGTGGTTTTGTTCCAGTCCCCAGGGGAACACCTGGTGAGTGTTGATAAGATAGCAACCTTTCCACTCTTGGCCAGAGATTTTTTTTTTTTTTTTTTGAGATGCTAAAGCCCTAGAATCCCAGTATCTGTTTTAAAATATAGTTTCTTTTGTTATTCAGGTATGGTGCAGTGAACAGATCTGGAGAGAGCTGCCCTTGAAAACCAGTTTGTTAACTCAGTTTTCCAGAAGGTGGGGGAGGGGGGCACGCCCTGCCATACAAGGCCACGCAGGGAAGCACGGGTCAGTCAGGAGACAGGACAGCAAAGGAAAACAGAGGCAAGAGTCTTTGTTGTGGTTTCCACAGGAGGGAGTAAGCAAGGCGAGGTAAGCAGGTTCAGGACTGGCTAGTTAGTACTCTAAGGAGTTTAAGGGCTGTCTCTAGCTGTCGGGTACCTAGCCCTGTGGTGATCAGGGAAGGCAGAAGGCGGACAGCAGCCCAGAGCCTGATACAGAAACCGGCCCAGAACCTGATGTAGAAACTGGCTGGGGATGTGGGGGTGGCTGGTTTGCATATGAAAGCCGGGCTCCCAGGAGGGTCATTGAGGAGGAACTGGCTAACCCTCTGAGTCAGTCTCTCCTGGGTCAGCAAGGCCCCAGATGTCAAAGCATTGGAAATACAGAAGACAATAAGGCATAATTAATACAGTATCAACTCCCAGATTAGCACCTGGAGCTAGTCTCTGACAGGGGGAAAGGGTGTCATGAAAGAAGAAGGTTCTTCGTTCTCTTTTCTTCTCCCCATCACGTGGCTTTAAAAACAGTCTCCCAAACTGCACTGCACTGTGGACTTTCACAGCCAGTCTCCTGGTCACAGGTGCACAACAGGGAAGAGGAGATGCATCCAGCACCCTCGAGGCTATCAGGCCTGAGCTATCAAAACCCGTCAGCCGAGGACAACACATCCTCAAGTTAACGGAAATGATTTTGCAGTTTTCCGGAAGTACAGTTGGGAAGCTTACTAATAAAACTCCGAGATGGGGCTTTTAAGACTGGCTGCATGGATTAATGAAAGAAATTGAAGGAGACACAAATAAATGGAAAGATACTCTGTGCTCATGGACTGGAAGAGTTGATATTGTTAGAAAGTCTGTATTGCTCAAAGCAATCTATAGATTCAACGCAATCCTATCAAAATCCCAATGGCATCTTGCAGAGACATAGAACAGTGATAATGTCCGTATGGAACCACAAAAGAGCCTCAACAGACATAACAATCTTGAGAAAGAAGAACAAAACTGGAGGCATCCTGTTCCCTGATTGCAAACAATATTACAGAGCTATCATCATCAAAACAGTATGGTAACAACATAAAAGCAGACACACAGATCAACAGAATGGAATAGAGAGACCAGAAATAAACCCACACACATGTGGTCAATTAATTTACAACAAAGGAGGCACAAATATACAATATGGAAAGGACAGTCTCTTTAATAGGTGATGTTGAGAAAACTGGACAGCCACATGCAAAAGAATAAAACTAGACTACTATCTTATAGCACACACAAAAATGAACTCAAAATGGATTAAAGAGTTGACTATAAGAGCTGAAACCATAAAATTCCTGGGAAAAAACAGAGGCAGTGAACTCACTGACATCAGTCTTGGCAATTTTTTTTTGTTTTTTTTTTGATCTGACTCCAAAAGCAAAGGCAACAAAACAAAAATAAACAAGTGAGACTATACTACACTGAAAAGCTTCTGCATGGCCAAGAAAACCATCAACAAGATGAAAAGGCAACCTACTGAATGGGAAGAAAATATTTGCAAATCATATACCTGACAAGAGGTTAATATCCAAAATATATAGAGAACGCATATAGGAAAAAAATCCAATTTAAAAAAATGGGCAGGGATGCCTGGGTGACTCAGTCAGTTAAGCGTCTGCCTTTGGCTTGGGTCATGATCTCAGGGTCCCAGGATTGAGCCCCATGTCCAGCTCCCTGCTCAGTGGAGTCTGCCTCTCCCTCTCCATCTGCCTCTCCTCGCTGCTCATGTGTGTGCGCATGCTCGCTCTTTCTCTCTCTCTCTCAAATAAATAATAAAATCTTAAAAAAAAAAAATGGGCAGAGGACCTGAATAGCCATTTTTCCAAAGATGACATACAGATGGCAGACACATGAAAAGATGATCAACCTCATTCATCATCCAGGAAATACAAATCAAAACCACATGAGGTTTCAGTTTACATCCATCAGAATGGTTAATACCAAAAAGATAAAAAGTAACTATTGGAGAGGATGTGGAGAAAGAGGAACCCTTGTGCACTGTGGGTGGAAATGTAAACTGCTACAGCCACTATGGAAAACAGTATGGAGGCTCCTCAAAAAATTAAAAATAGAATTGTCATATGATCCAGCAATTCCACTTCTGAGTATTTACCCCAAGAAAATAAAAACACTATTTAGGAAAGATATATGCAGGCGCCTGGGTGACTCAGTCCATTAAGGGTCCAGCTTTTGATTTTGGCTCAGGTCATGATCTCTGTCTGGACCGTGAGATAGAGCCCCACATTGGCCTCTGTGCTGGGTGTGGAACCTGCTTAAAATTCTCTCTCTCTCTCCCTCTCTCTCTGCCCCTCCCCCACCACTTGCACTCTCTCTTAAAAAAAAAAGAGAATGAAACTTTGCCATTTGTGACAACATGGATGGACTTTGAGGGTATTATGCTACGTGAAATAAGTCAAGAGAAAGACAAATACTCTATGCTTTCACTTATATGTGGAATCTAAAAAACAAATGAGCAAACAAAACAAAACAAAAGCTCATGAATAAGAATAACAGAGTGGTTGTTGCCAGTGGGAAGGGGGTTGGGGGGGCACAGACTTCCAGCTGTGAAATGAATAGGTGATGGAGATGCAGTGTGCAGCATGGTGACTACGGTCAACAGTATCCTAGTACACATTTGAAAGTTGCCAGGAAAGTACATCTTGAAAGTTCCCCTCCCAAGAAAATAAATAAATAAATTTTTTGTAACCTTTCATGGTGACAGATGGTGACCAGACTTATATGGTGATCATTTCACAGTGTATACAAGTGTTGAATCATTATGCTGTACCCCTGAAACTAATATAATGTTGCATGTCAATTATGCCTCAATTTTAATAAATAAGATTGGCTGCAAGGAGATCTGTCAGGAAGCAAGGATAGGTGTGAAATAAGCAAAGACAGGGTGGGACCTCCAACATTGTCAGGTGCCCTAATGAATCACTATGTGCCAAGTGAATTATTCATTGACATAACTAATTTCCACCTTACTGGCAACCTTTTTATTATTTGATTTCAATGGAAAATTAAAAAGTACTTTAGAACTAATCTTAACCTTATACTCAGTAAGTATCCCAAAAATGACAGAGCTGGTTTTGGTTTGGGTTGCAGGTGTGTATGCTTCTGTCTGTAACTAAAACAAAAAAACTCCCTAAAACACATTGTTAAGATGAATAATTAATTGTATTTGGCAACCTAAATATATTTTAGACAAAACAATTAATCTTTTCTGGAGAGTAATTAATCCCAAATAATGTTGGAAAGGATTCTGGAATAGAGCTCAGAGAAGTGAAAATGTTTGTCCCAGATCACACGGTCAATTAATGCTATACTTGGGCTACTGTCCCATTCTCCTGCCACCCCCAGACTCAAACACAGCACTTCCGTTCACGGCATATGTCAGAATGACCGCTACATTTATCGTCTTTTTCATGTGCATACACCTTTAGGATTAAATCTTCATCTGATGCCTTTTCATTCTTCTTCTCTGGATCTAAGCAGTCACCAAGTTGAGCTAGAAATTCCTCATGTTTCCTGCAATTCTTCGAGACTTGATTCTTATTCTCCTCATTTTCCTTTAAACACTTTCTATAGGGCAAATAACACATACGTCAAGTTGTAACACTACAGAAGAGATCATTCATCAAACAAAGTTCAGAACTTAAGCTCTCTGATCCAATCATCACTTTCATCACAACACAGTTTTCTGGACACAGAGCACATCATTGTCATGCAAGCCCTGTACAGGAAGGAGAAAAGTCAAAGCCAGGCACCTACGCTTAGCAGAAATGTACAAAAATCTTCATGGCATCTTAGATCTAGTAACAGCAAAGGAGACAGACTCTCTGCCTCTTGTCCTTGACCATTTAGGATCTGCAGAAGTGGCAGGAAATCTCTAGATCACAATGGATGTATACAGTCATGGGTCTGTGTTGGGTCCTCATGAGGAAGAAGGACAGTACTGCTATATTTCTTCTAGTGTATCATCTTTTGCTTTATTTTCAGACGCTATGCAGTGATCTATAAGGGTTACTTAGGGCATACCCTGGGTCATGGCCAAGCATAACTATAATAAAAAAAATACATCCTGGGCACCTGGGTGGCTCAGTCGTTAAGCGTCTGCCTTCAACTCAGGTCATGATCCCAGGGTGCTGGGATCGGGCTCCGCGTCGGGCTTCCCGCTCAGCGGGAAGCCTGCTTCTCCCTCTCCCACTCCCCCTGCTTGTGTTCCCTCTCTTGCTGTGTCTCTCTCTCTCTCTGTCAAATAAATAAACAAAATCTTTAAAAAAAAAAAAAAATACATCAGGAGCAGTGGATGTTCCCCCTCTAGAAGAAAGACATGTTCAATCACCAGCAAATACCATTATTAGTTTTCATACATCCAGAGTGTTTAAAGAGTATTGAGATGGGCCATTCAAGGAAAATCAGTTGATTATGCTCTGCTATGAATATTTCATTTCAAATCTGAGGTAGTTTTGCTGAAATAGCACGGTCTATTTCTAATGCTTTAAATGTCAAGAGACTAAGAGATCATCAAAAAACACACATACTTTAAAGGCAAATTAGAATCATTTCAGTAATTTGGTATTATTTTTTCAGTACCCTAGATAATAAACATGATTATTGCTTTCCCTTTTTACCATGTTGAGTGTTTACTGCAAATTCTTTCACTCTATTCAAAGATTAACAAAGCATGTAATTGCATACACTCAAAAGCATATCATATTTCTATTTAGAAAAATGTATAACAATAAAAGACCAACATCAGTATATCTCTAAGTTCTTATTTTCAGCGTATAAAAGGTAAAATTGATTCAGTCTCTCTGGCTCATGAAAAGCACAGTTAATGCTATGATGCAGATGGATTGATTTACATGTATGAATCCACCCATTCAGTCCAAGGCTTCAATCTTGCTTCTCCATCCCAAGTGTGGCTGAACTGTTCCCACTTGTACTTGCATTTCACTTGGACCCAATAAAGTCCTAGGAATCTACCCTACGGACATAATCACATAAATGTGAAAATATGAATACACTTGGTTTATAATAATTCTTTGAGTGAAACTAACCTGAGTGTCTGCAAGAAATAACAAAAAGAACTGGTAAGTAAATTATGATATGTCAGGCAATGGGTACCATGGGCTATTAAAGATGATACAATGAGTGACTTTTTAAAATATGTACAACATAGGGGCGCCTGGGTGGCTTGTTGGTTAATTGCCTGACTCTTGATTTTGGCTCAGGTCATGATCTCAGGGTTGTGGAATTAAGCCCCACGTTGGGCTCCACGCTCAGCACAGAGCCTGCTTGAGATTCTCTCTCTCTCTCCCTCTGCCCTTCCCCCTGCTCCAGATCAGTCAATCAATAAAATCTTAAGAAATATATGTCTACAACATATTATTCAGTAAAAAACATAGTTCATTATATGATGTCAACTACCTGAAAACCTGTTCACCAAAATTTGAAGTATAGCTTTTCAGGAATTGTAAGGTCTTGAATAATTTTAATATTTTTGGCAATTTTCTATATCTTAAAAAAAATTTTTTTACAATTAGTATAGATCACTTGTATTATTCATTTATTTAATAAATATCTACTGGATACCCACTATGCACCAAGCCCAATTAAAGGTACTAAAGATACAGTAGTGAACAAAACAGATGAACATCCTTGCCCTCACGGAGCTTACATTCTAGAAAGGAAGATGGACAGTAATCAAAATCAATGTATGTGAAATGTATACTGTTATAAAAAAACAAAAAAAAAGCCAGAGAGAAAAAATCAAGCAGGAAAGGGAGGAAGAAATACTTGGCGGGGGAGCAGAGTAAAATTTTAGATGTAGTCACTGTGGAAGACCTGAGGAAGCGACTTCTGAGTGAAGACCTAAAGGGAGAAGAGGGGCAGCCGTGCCATATCTGGGGGAAGAGCTTTCCAGGCCAAGGGATTAGCAAGTGCAAAAGTCCTGGGGTAGGAATACACCTGTTACATTCGAAGGACAGCAAAGAAGCCAGTGAGCTGAAATGGAAAGAATGGAAAGAGAGAATGGAAGCAAAACCAGGTCAGGATGAGCCTTCTAGGTCATAGAATATCCTTTGTCTTTACCCTGAGAGAGAAGAGAAGGCCTGCAGGCCTCTGAGCAGAAGACCGAAGAGATCTATTGTGTTTTTACAGGATCAATCTGGCTGCGAGGGGCACAAGCAGCAGCAGGAAAATCACTGCGGAGGCTACTGCAAACATCCCAGAGAGAGATGGTAGTCCCTGGAATTCAGGTTAATGGCAATGAGAGCAACAATGGGAAGTAGTCAAAATGTAGATTTATTCTGCAGGTAGAGATGAGGGGACTTGTTGAAGGATCAGACACAGAGTGTGAAAGAGCAAGAGGACCAAGGATGATGACTAAGGTTGTTGACCTGATGGACTAGAGGAATGGAATTATCACTAGAGATGAGGAAAGGAGCAAGAAGGTTCTGTGGGAACAGGAGGAGCTCCGTTTTGGCCATGTTAAGTGTGAGATGCCCATTGGACATCCACATGCCAAGGCCCGGTAGGTAGTAAAAATATGTGGGTCTTCCTTGAGGTCTGAGAAGAGATCCAGGCTAGACATAGAAATGTGGGCATCGCTAGCATTTAGATCATACTTAAAGTCACGAGATCACTGAGAGAATGAATTTAGACAGAACCAGAAGAGATTCAAGGACTGAGTGCCCGGGCACTCCAGTCTTTGGAAGTCAACAAGATGAGACGGGGAAAACAAAAGAGACTATGGCAGGGCAGCTAGGAAGGAAAGATACAAAGTCAGCATGGGGAGTGTCCTAGCAGCCAGAAGAAGCAGGTGGTTCAAGGAGAGAGACCAACTGTGCCTGACATACTGGTAAGTCAAGTGAGACAAAGACTGACCATTTAATCCACAATGTGTGGTCATGGGTCACCTTAGTGAGTGGTTTCAGTGGAGGAGACCCAAGAGAGAAGAGAGAAGAAGAACTGGAGACGATGAGTCTATACAAACATTTTAAGGAGTTTTGCTGTAAATGGGGGGAGAAAAAGAGGACAAGAGTGGCGGTGTTGGGTTTTTTTGTTTTTTTAAGACGGAATTAAGTAAAATAAGTATCAAGTATCTTATTATTAAAGTTATTTATTACACTTAGAATTTTAAAAGTATATTTTTGGAACAACTAGTTCCCAGTTTTGTCTCAATAATTACCTTTTGCCAGAACTAAGTGTGGAAAACTAAGGTTTCGTGAGTTTTCTGCATAAATGGGCAATAAAAGCTAATGAGGAGTGTTCAGGGTGGTCTGGAGTGGTCTGGGCTTCCCGGGCAGTTTTATAGCTAGCTTTTGAATAAACAACTCCCTCTCTGTGCCACTTCACTGCCTCTAGTTAAACCTCTACTTACAGAAAATCTTCCACATTCTGTATATGAGCATTTGCAACCCTAATCAATCGGACAGAAACATGCTTAGGACACAATGCCTTGTTTGTTAAGATTCCTGGTAACATTTGGAAATGAGCTTGAGAAAAATTTTCAAGACTCCAAAGATATTTGAGCTTCAAGATTTTTTTTTTTCCAAATTGAGTTTCAGGGCCAAATAAGGCAACAACATGCCAGTACCTTCAAGGGCATATTCTGCTATCAGGAGCTAGTATTCTAATGCTAACAACTACAAAATACATTGAAATACCCTTACTGTAAGTTCTCATCTAGTTCTGCAACTTTCTTCTTTAACTCCTGGTTCTCCTTGATTGCAGTGTGAGCTGTGATTTCGGTTCTAATTTTAGAAGTGGTAAGTGCTGCTGATTCTTCTTCCAGCTCCTGAACTCTGTCTCTCAGGGAGGTGAGGAGAGATGATTTTCTAGCATTATTTTCTTTGTAATTCTCCATTTCAGCTTTCAACTCTTGACAGGAGGCTTCTTTCGAAAGCATCTTGGATCGGAGGTCTCGAAGCTAACATGGAAAAGCCATAAAAAGGAGGAAAAGGATTTCAGTGGCGTTAAGTGTGAAGTACTTTTAAGAAACCCAGAACCATAATTTCAAATCTCACTCTTTTGTTCATGACTTAATCCAACTTTATTTTCTTTTTTTCATATTTGTGTCTACATCACCAGATGGGAACATATGCCTAAACAATGGACCTCATATTCTGTCTCTTTTGAAACCAACTGAGCAATGTCTCGGGGTGATTTAGTGTCACTCAAGAGACATTTGTGGTGTATTTTGCAAAAAGTGATATTTTTCCATGGTAACTCATTTTCTAAATCTGCATTGCTGTTATTGCTGCTGACAGACAATGAAACAAGAAACCTACGAGCTAAGATATTTGTAATTTCATGGCCACAACTGGTTCCTAAGTAGATACAGACTATTTGATATGTCACTGTATTTCTCCCACTTGCCTTCAGGATCCTTATTGTGGGCAATAAAAAAATATTAATGATAAAAAAATAACATTCCGATTTCTGGGGAAAATATGGAAGAAAAGGAAAATCCTTATAGGTTTTATACAAAAGAAACATTTTAACTTTCATGAATTCTATGGCATCAAAATATTGAACAACGTATACGCCCTATTAAGATGTCAGGGCCACCCTATAAGAAAACTTTATGAATGTGTGTACTTCTTTGGAACTATGAGTATACATGCATACAATTTTTCACACACACACACACACACACACATACACACACAGAAGGTATCAAATCATCTCTCAGTGGACTCCTGGTAGCCCAATGAAAGGGCTAGTTACCTCATAAGCAAGCCCAGGACCCCTCAGGGCCACCAGGCTATGAGCAGAATGGTTCTAGAGAGACTCTCAGAAACTCTACAATAGACCTGATCCAGCCCAGAGGGAAGATGGATCCTAATCATCGTCCTAGAATTTCCCCCAGCCAATCAGAACTAGCAGGAGGAAGGGATCCAGCATTCCATTCTAAGACCTCCAGATTGCAAGCAAACCACGTTAAAGGTACATATTCAGGGAGATGCTAAAAATGCTCCAACACCAAGGCAGCTTCAACCAAAGTCATCAGGTGCCTCCAGGTCTGTCAAGGCTGTGAAGCTCCTCAGACATCTGGGAACCAGCCAACGTCACCTTGCTTTGAACCACGGCAAATGCACAACCTTTCAAGAATTCTCTACGACAAGGGGAGTAGATGAACCAGAGGCGTATCACCTTTGCCAAAAGGTGTAAAGCTGTGCCCTCCCGTCCTATTTCTAATCACCTCTACGCTCTGCTTCACTCTAGAAGAAGCTAAAATGGCCCATTTTGAAGTGGCGAAGATGCAGTCTTACCTCAGACTGAGCACATTCAAATTTGACCAAAGTTGCCGCCAGTTCACTTCGAGCGTTTTCGGCCACATTCCGATAGTGGTTTAGTTGTTCCCGGGTGACTGGGACTTCCAAGGGACGGCCATAAATTTCCTGACAGGGTTCCCCCAAAAGACAAAATATAAAGAAGAGTTTTAAACAATCTTTTTCCATGCAGCTGTGCAGAGCAAGATTAAACACAGAGCATTCTTTGTAGTCCAAATGTCTCGAAAATGCTGCCTAGGCAGTGTCTCGTCCAGATCATCTCACTCTCAAAACTCTGAGGGAGGCGGGAGGCAGCCCAGGAACAAATGATGTGTTCTCCCAAGATGGCATTTAAGGATTGGCCTTTGCCACTTTAGAGAGCTTCCTTCCACCCAACTCAAATGCTACTTGACCTCTGACCAGAACCGATAAGAGTCCCCACAAAACTGTCAGAAGAGATGCAATGTGACAAGGTCCACAGCAAAGAGGCAGTTTTCATTGTCCTTCTGTTTCCAGACTACAAAAATGATCAACCCACCTCATATTTTGAATAAAGGGCATCATTTGTTTACCAAAGAGATTGTGTGAGTTAAAGGCAAAAGGCTGCCTCCTTCCTAATTATTCACTATACCATTTATTCTCAATCTCATAGCCTATCTTGGGGTCATGACTCATGAAGGTGACTCAGATGAATGCAGGAGACCACGATAGTGGGGTGGTACCCGAGGAGTCTTCCCCCCATCCGCCAGGCAACAGCTCTCAGTTCCACGGATGGCAGCCAGTGCAGAACTGTGGATCTCCGCGTGGCCAAGTTTTTCCAATTTTTCAAGACAAGTCATATATGCAGACTTTCTGAAGTAAAAACTCCCAGTTTTTTCAGCTTGGCAACTAATTTCAATGTTTAAAAAAAGAAACACTATGATCCAAATAAACACATCTGCAGAGCAGATTTGATGGGTTTGGCCTGTGGGTCATAGTCTGTAACCTCTGGTTCTGTTACTTATGCCATGAGACCAGCTTCTTTCGAGAATTATTCCTGAGCTTGGACAGATACCTACTTCACAGAGGTAGGGATCTGTGAAGTCTCCAAGGCCTGTGCTCTTTGTGAAAGACACACAGGAAAGCCATTCATTTCTGAAGGAATATGAAAGAGGTCACATAAAGGAGGGTTTCCTGGAATTATCTATGAGGCCTCAGGGGACATACTAGTAAAACTGGTTTATGGCTGCCCAGCTACTGAACTGCCAAAGACTACTGTTTGGAAAATGCTCATGAATGCAAAAGTCATCTCAGAGCCCTTAACTTTATAACAAGCGTTGTCATGACTAGTGCGTTTTGATGCACAAAATGCCAAGCAAAACCTTCACTGCACCTAGCAACAGCCCATGTTTGCCAATCACAACATATCCAAGAAGATGGTAGGTATGTACTCCTGGGGAGAAAGCATAAAACGTTTAGCTACATCTAATAAGAGAACCACATCCTGTTCAGCCTCACTTTATATTCAGAAGTGACTTCCCCACCCTAACCACCACAGCAAGATTTCCTAAAACAGGCCACATAAGGACTTTGGTCACTTATGAGAGGTATGAAGTAGAGTGTGTATGGCACATCATTTTATTTATTTTGTGTATTTATTTATTTAAGAGAGAGAGAGTGCAAGCGGGGGGAGGGACAGAGGGAGAGGGAGAGAACCTCAAGTAGACTCCACACTGAGCAAAGAGCCCAACTCAAGGCTCAATCTCACAACCTTGAGATCATGACTTCAGCTGCAATCAAGAGTCAGAACCTTAACACACTGAGCCTCCCAGGCACTCCTGTATGGCACATCATTTTATAAAATTCATTAGGAAAATAAGTTCTTCAATAGCTATGATTATTTCTTTCAATGACTAGCATCCTTTTTCAGGAAATGATGTAATCATTCCATAATGTTATATCTCCTTCTTATGAAAAAGCAGTGTCCACTGGACATAATATTAAAAGCCACACGAGACAGTTCAGATATGGCCCTTCATTTTAGGAGATTACAATCTAAAGCAGAACAATACCAAAAATCATTTACATCTTCAGATGTGCACGGGTGAAAGAAACGACACGTTAAGATCTCATCACAATGCATACCAGGACAGGGCCCACATTAGGCAGACTCCTGATTACTGAGTTTAGAAGACAGTTGCTGAGTCTAAATCACCCTTCAAAGTCCAGCAGCCTGGAGATTATTCATCAAAAATATTTACTGAAAACTTACTCAAGGTCAGGCACTGAGGTTACACCCTACTAAGAAAAAGAACATTTATCAGACAACCACACTAATGATTACATAATTACAAACTGAAATGCATACAAGAAAGAAAAAAAAAGAGAAAACAAAGGAAAGTGACTTACCATCAGAGACATGAGAAGGAAAGATTTCCCTAAAGAAGTGATGACTGAGTAGGTATTAAATAGGCAAGAGGTAATGAAGCAGGGGCAACACACATCATTCAAATAGCCAGAAGTCTGAGCAAGGGTCCTGTGGCAGGAACACACTGTGCGGTCAAAGATCTGAGCAAAGGCAGGGAGGCTGAGGGACAAGAACAACTTAAGAACAGTAGCTTAAAAGGCAGCTCTGAGGGGTGCCTGGGTGGCTCAGATGGTTAAGCGTATGCTTTCGGCTCAGTGCATGATCTCAGAGTCCTGGGATCGAGTCCCACATCGGGCTTCTTGATCAGCGGGAAGCCTGCTTCTCCCTCTCCTTCTACTGCTCCCCCTGCTTGTGCTCTCTCGCTCTCTCTGTCAAATAAATAAATAAAATCTTTAAAAAAAAATAAAAAATAAAAAAATAAAAGGCAGCTCTGAGCTCATTCACATATGGTAGTGCCAGGTAGGGCTATTCTAACTTGTGCATTCTGCCATATGAAATTTAGAATCCGCTTATCAAATTCCCAAAAATCCTGTTTGTATTTTCATTGGGATCGTGTCAGTTTTATAAATAAACTTAAGGAGAACTGACATCTTTTAAATACCGAAGCTTCCAATGAAAATCACTTTTTTTTTTCCATTTGTCCAGGAATTCTTCTATGTCTCTTAGTAGCTGTGATGATTAATTTTATGTGTCAACTTGACTGGGTCACAGGGTGTCTAAATATTTGGTTGAACACTATTCTGGTTGTGTTTGTGAAACCGTTCCTGGTGAGTTTAGTATTTGAGCTGGTAGGCTGAGTAAAGCAGATTGCCCTCCCCAGTGTGGGTGGGTCTCATCCAATCCACTGAAGGTCTGAATAGAACAAAAAGGCTGAATAAGGAAGAATTTGCTCTCAGACCATCTTCAAGCTGGGACGTCGGTCTTCCTCTGCCTTTGGACTCAGACTCAGACTGGAACTTACTCCATCAGCTCTCCTGGGTGCCCAGCTTGCTGGTTACAGATCTTGGGATCTTCAGCCTCCATTATGCACAAACCAATTCCTTATCATAAATCTCTTTCTATAGACAATATAGTAAGAGAAAAAAATTATATAGAGAGAACCCTGACTGAGCACTAGAGACACTTCTGTGCTGAGATGGCTCTGGAATGTGCCACAGAAATCCATTCCTTCAAGACATTCGGAGGTCGCCTAACTGAGAAGAAATGAATGGCAGTAGCAGGAGAGGGTTACAGGGACAAGGAAAGACAATCCAAAAGCTGAAAGAAGAATACATGAATGTATTTCTTTATGACTAAGCTCTTCCATCTCAGCCCTTCAACCACCTGACAGATCCTTATGAAGTGTTTGTACTATCTCCTAGATATCTCCGGTTTGGTTTGGAATTCTTCTTTCACCTGAGTTCAGAGCTGTGTTGTTGTTACGGCTCTTTATTTTCTGGGCTTGTCATGGATTTCTACTTCATTACTCCGTGCTCAGAGTACACTGTCTGCATTCAGGGCTGACACTCACGGGTGTACTGCAGTGTGGTGGACCAGTTTCCACTCAGAATTGGATCTATTCAGGCGGGGCGGTCCCTTTGCTCTACCGGCCATTACCTATTTTCCCCCATCATCCTTGTCTATGTTATTTCTACTTCAGGGAATTTATTGAGGTTTTTGTGAATGCTCAGTTTCATGAAGGTCTTTCGGGCACCTGAAAAGAAGGTGCATTCTCTGTCTTCAGGGCTTGGAGTCCAACATCTATCTTAGATGTACCTTACTCATTATTTTAACTGGGCACTTCTAGCCCAGCCTCATTTCTGTCCTTTACTCTGTCATGAGCTGAGAGGTGAGTTTAACCTCCCATCACTACTGTAAATCTCTATCACCTGGTACCACTTGTTTTCTTGCTTTGGGAGGGCTGGTGCTGTTCGACTTGGTGTAAAGATTCAGAACTTTATCTTCGCGGTGGGTTGTACCATGCAGCATCATAACATGCTCACTTATTCCTTTCTGCTCTGAATCTAGTCTTTTTTCATATTGAGACCACGATCCCTGATTTTTCTTTGTTTGAATCTGACTACCTATACCTCTGTTCCATATTTTTATGTTCATCCCTCCTGGATCACTTTGTTTTTGATGTCTCCTATGTAATACAGCTGGGTTTGGCTTTGCGATCAATCTTAAAATTCTTTTTCCTGTCCTGGATGTCTCCATGACGTTTACACCTGTTCACGTGACAGATAAACTTGGTCTTAGCTCTGCTGCATTATTTTATGTTATGCTTCTTGTTTTGATCGCTCTTCCAAAATCTTTCACCACACATCTGTTTGCTTTGCTTTCTTTGGTCGGACCATTGGGAAGGTTTGTATTTTTGTTCTAGTCTGAAGTTTAACCATAACTTTAAATAATACTTTTTAGACAACATCCACTAATTCACTACAATAGCCTACCTTCCCTTCCTTGCTCCTCTCGTCCCCTCTCCTACAACTTCGAATTTTTGATCTTTATATTCTCATTCTAAATACTTGCCAGTGTAGCCCCAAAGTTACTAGATGGAAGAAACCAAAATGCTTATGCTACCTCTCCCTTCTTCCTCTCTTAAGCTGGCTAGTCTTTGCTTCAGGGGATTCTCATAATGCACGTGCTCAATCTCTTCTCTATGTATTCCATTTTATTCACCTCCTCCCTGTTCTTTTTTAATTCTTTATTTCCATTCCATCTCCCTTATTCTTCCTATATCTTCTCTATGCTCGCCTGCCTCCCTGTGTCCCATTAGGTCTTGCCTTTATTTCTGCAATGGCTTCACTTTTTTTGTCTTTTCTCTCCTGAACCCCGCCAGGTCACATTTCATCTCCTCTCCTCACCTCGCTGTATCTTTCTTGAAGTCCTGTATCACTGCTTTCCAAATACACTTCAGGCACATGTTGGCTTTATTCAATTGTTTTATTCACGATGAATGTTTGGTCACAAGTTTTCCTGTGTTGTTTCCTCTTTGATTGCTCATTAGAAGGTGAGTGCTCGCTGGGCCAGCTGTGGAAGAGGTGCACACACGGATGGGAAGGTAAAGTCACTCAGGCTCCAGCCAAGCAGGAGTTTCCCTAAGACTCAGGATTTATATACAACTTCATTTGACTTATCTTTCATTCCAGCCCATGGAGAGGGTTTATCACAATGCAGACTTTCCACGAGCGCCCTGCTCCACAGCTTCCTAGAAATCTGGCTCATGGCATGATTTTTACTTGGCTCTCCCTCTCCTACTTTTTGGAAGTCAGGTAGATGCAGAGAAGCTCCCACTGGCAGTCCACACACCTCCATCCTCTCTTGCAACAAGAGATATTGGCTTGACTCCTCTGAGTTGGCCACTCATCTTTGCAAAATAAGCTTTCCCAGCCCTTCCTACCCTCTGCAGCCGGGGTGCCTCCCGCATGCACCTCCCCTCAACCTCTGCTGCTCGGGAAAAGCTTGCCGCCTACTTTGTGTTACAAGATTTCAGCCATCTCCTGGATGGGCCAACAATGGAAATTGTTTCTCATGGTCTTTGTTGCCTGAGGCTAATTTCCAGGAGTAGAAGGGAGAAATGCTATCTGTATGTCACCATTTTTAAACTAGAAGTACCTAGTTAGATTTTTTTTTTTTAGCTAAATGGCCCTTTGGTGGCATTGAGGCATTTAAAAAAAAAATGTCCTTTTAAAAATTTTGATTTTGAAAAAAAAAATCTAATTAAAACAATGTGATACTCAGCAGGAAATCAACAGAAAGACCAACAGAAACCCCAGGAACAGTTTTTAGTCTCCAGTGCTCAGAAGAATTTAGTGTATGAAGAAAGAGGTTATGCTATAAATAGTGGGGGAGAAAATATTGGTCAATAAATAGTGAAGCTAATTACTAAAGAAAAAAAATGAAATTTTAGAGCTGTATTACACATTATAAGCCAAAGTAAATTTAAGATAGACTTAAAGCACTGAATATTAAAAATGCAATCATAAAAAGTACTATCAATTTATATGTATCTTATCTTGAAAAGGATTTTCTAAGCATAGAAGCAATGAAAGAACATCAAGACAAAACTCACATATGACAACAAAATTTTAAAACTTCTATACACTAAAAATATATAAACAGAATTTAAAGTGAAGAACTGTAAAAATATTTACAAAAGTAATATAGTCAAAACCGTAATATGCAAAGAACCTACTCAAACCAATAAGAAAACAAATACCCTAGAGAAAAATTACATAAAAGAACTAACAATTATCAGAAGAACTATAAATGGCTAATAAATGAGAAGTACCCTTCTTCACTGGTCATCAATTAA